TTCATCAGATGTTATCCAGAATACTATCAGCAGTCAGGAGAAGGACCTAGTCAATTAAACAAGATTTTCTATTATTTGAGAACTCAATATCAAGTTTCTCTCCGATTCAGATTTGACTGTAAACACACTGTTGGCCCTTTCACACCTTTCTCCAACAAATAAAAACTATGAGCTGAAAAGGAGAATAATTCTGTCCTTTTTCACTTGATCATATTGCATAGGTTACAGTAGCATTAACTATTGTCAAAATCAAATACTTTGCATTATTGCTGACCACTTTTCAATGCATGCGTTCTATGCCTTAGATCTGTGGACTGACGGCTGCAGGGTGGTGTGTCACTCGAAGTTGTTTTTCTCCTCTTGAGAAAAACTATTTTTTTATTTGGCTCACCAACTTTTCACCAGACACGTTTCTCTTTTTTTGTAGCTGGGCAGGTAGCATATAACACTGTTATGTGGAGGTTGTGTTTTGGAACCTGAATATAGTTTAAATGCTACAGTTGGTAAGAAGTGTGTTTTATTTATTTTGATTATTTCACAAAATCCTACTTTAGTCCTGACACCTGGACAACCAACAGGCAGACAGTAGCATGAGGAGCTAAGGGAAGCTAGATTTAAAAAAAAAAATTTTTTTGAATACAAACACAGGATAAACACACACACACACACACACACACACACTTATGTTCAAAGATACAAGAGATACAGATATTTATTCTCAAGTTCACGTCAAGCAAGGAGAAAATGTGTACTTTTCCCACCTCTGCCTGTCCATCTCTCGCTGTGTTTTACCTGCCAAACTAATAGCACAGATACACTGTCTTCAGAAGCACTCAAGTTTCTTTTAAAAAAAGAGGGCACTGGGAAAGAAGCATCCTTGCATTTACCGAAGAAATCAATAAGGCTCTCTTGAGTGAGTCTGGCAAAATCACATAATTGCTGTCATTACCGCAGCCTTTTTGATTTTAAGATTTGAAAAGGTAACAGCGGAGAGAGTTTGAAAGGAAAATGGTATAAGTGGTAAACGCCGAGTGAGTGATCAGGTGAGCCGCTTGAAGTTTGGAAGTTACTGCTCTGTTTTGATTGCAGATAAAAACATTCATTTTTCCCAGGTGCTGTGTTATTTTGGATTTGAGAGTAATGTGCTGATTTTTTGACGGAGACAGACTAGCTGAGTCCCCGTGTTTCAATTCTGTATGCAAAGCTTACCAACTTCTTGCTGTATCTTCATATAACCTCTGCAAAAAACAACCGTGTGGTTTTAGAAATGTGGAACTATCCCTTTAAAAACGTTCAAAGAAAGAGACCCTATTATGCTTTTAGGGGTTTTCCCGTTCCGTTAGTTTTTGTGCATGTAAACGGTCATCAAAGGCTAAAATCCCTGTGTTCCCTCCGGGGGACATCTCTAAGCAGTTGACTAATCACAACACAGCCGGCCAGCTAACCAATCAGAGCAGACTGGGCTCTGGTTTCAGACAGAGGGTGAAAAGAAGTGCTGCAGAAAAATGAAGAGCTTTTTGAACATTAAAGCATGGAAACACATTTCAGTAGAGGCAGAAAATACTAATATGTACCACGAAATTAGAAGAATAACTTTAAGTCCAAAAAAAGTACATTACATGTCACTTGTTAGGCACTTTTATCCAAAGCGACTTACATACTCAATACTGAGGGCAATCCCCACAGGAGCCATTTGGGGTGAAGTGTCTCAGGGACACAACGACATGCTGACTACAGTGGGGTTTGAACCTGTGACCCCCTGATCTGAACACCACACACAACCTCCCTACATGGAGAACATATTAAACCCAAAGTGTTTGCAAGATTTGTCGCTCTTATCAGTTTTGGTAAGCAATCTTGTATCATACATTTGAATGTGTGTGGTCACTACCAAACACACATTTTCTCAATAGTAAACAGTATGTTGCTCTCACAGAAACATCTACTCTCTCGTTCTGATTGAAATAGCATAACATGTAGGACATAGCACACGAGCAAAGATGTGTGTCTTAGGGAATAAAGCTTTTAGATGTGCAGCTCCACTAACATGGAACAGTCTGCAAAAAGAATGGAAAATTACCAAGCTAGTACCACTACATGTTTTTAAAGCTCGGTTGGATGCTACAAAATCAGATGCTGTTGGTACCTGTACTTGTGGTTAAATATGTAAATTGTAATCCCTGTACATTTTGCTGTATGATGTCCTTTTGTTGTTCTGTTGTTTATGTCTTCTTGTGGAACCTACTGCGAAGAGTAGAGAGATCATTGATCTCAATGGGATTTTACCTGGATAAATAAAGGTTTTGAATTGAATTGAATTGTGTGTCAGTTGGTTTAAGACTGTTTAACTTCAATTTAAATCCTGAGTCAAATCTAGTACATACGACTCTCGATGATAGCAACTGTTGTTCACCTGCAGCCAATAGGATGTCTTGCATGTCTTACCACTCGTCTTGTTTTTTTCTTGCACTTCTTATCGTCTCTCTCTACCTCAAGACTGATTTAATCTGTCGTGTGACTAAAGGGTGAACTCCTGTGACATCTCTTGTCTTTTTCACTCTCTGGTATCACTACAGTGGTCTGGCAAATGGTAAAGAGAATAGTCCTAGAGAAGAGTCAGACCAATGCAGTTGCCGTTTTTACATTCAATGGTTAATCATGTTTGTCTTACTTGCTCCAAAGGCTCAACGGGGTGAGACAGAAATAACGCAGGACAAAGACGCTTGAAGATTTCTGAAAAGAGCCAGTATACATACATGACTTGCCAGTATATGTACATGACTTTTAGCAGTAATACATGTATATTTACTGAGTACACTAACAGATCAAAACCACCTACTGTAAAGGGTTTTGAAAAGTAGAGTTTGAAAATATCTTGGTTCTTGACCGGTGAAGAAACGGGACATCTTCCCCACATTTGAACTTCTGTGTAGTTGATGAGGTCTTGCATTCATAACAAGGTCAGAACCAAATCACTGACGACAAACATCATTTGATTGCAATAGAAAAAAGCAACGACAAAACCTGAGCAGATCCAGAAGTCAGAAAACAGGTGTATTAGCCTTTTAATAGCTATAGCATCCTTGCTTTTCATTGGTTGACCTTGTTGAAGGACGATGGACCACCTTCCATTTTCTTAGTTCTAACCCTTTTTTCTAGGGATGCACGATATTGGTTTTTTGAAACCGATACCGATAACTTCCTGCTTCTCAAGACCGATACCCGATAATAATATAATATATATATATATTAAATGTACCTGTAGTTTTTGCACACCTGGTGGTAAAAAAAAGACTAGTAGTGAGCAAATGACATGAGCATTACTACTATGAACAAAACTAGCCCTGGGGTCGTCTCTGGCAAACGTCTTGCCTTTTTCAAAAGCCTCGTCGATAGGTAAAAGCCCCGGTGCCTTTGCAGCTGGCTTTGGATTCGCCGCTAGTTTAGCAGCGCAGGCGTCTTCGTATGCTTTTAACACACCATCGTAGCGATGGCGATGTTTCAGGTGACTAATCAGGTTGGAAGTATTATAGCTCGTTGCCTTTTTCCCTCCTCGTGGAACTTCTGCATTTGTTAATACAAATAGCAAGCGAACTATCTAACTCTGAAACTTTGAAATAGTCCCATACTACCGACGACATGTTTGTTTACTGTCCTGGCTTCACGGCCGCACACCATTCACGTCACAGCCAGGCATGAGTTAGGGAGCGCTGGATTTGTGAAGAACTCCCCTCTTCCTAAACCACTAATACCACAGTACTGGCAAAACGGGAGGAGCCGAGTGAAAAACAAGCGCCCCTCATCCCAATCCACCCACACCGCAGTATTTATTCTTTTTTTTACCCAAAAAATATATTGTATATTATCGGGGCTATTAATACTGTTATCGGGTTTATCGGGATGACGTCATAATTCCTAATATCGGACCGATAATTATCGTGCACCAATACTTTTTTCAGATGTTTGCTTACATGGTCACGTTATCACTTTGGCCATGTTATACCTCGAACAAAACTTGACCTCGTTAGCGCTCTAGTGAGAGGGGGAGTTGTGCTGTTCTCAAATGTTCTATTCGTACCCCATTCACTTCTGAGAAAGTGAACGACAGTTTTACCTGAATAGACTAATAGTGGCCTTTCGTACAACCTCGACACTCTTAGTTCCACAGTTTGCTAGACCTTGTTTTTGTTTTTTTGAGTTACTTCTAGCTCTACAAAATACCAAAAAACGAAGTCAGGCAAGTTTATTGATATAGCACCTTTCAACACAAGGCAATTCTAAGTGCTTTACAAAAATCAAAAGCATTAAGAGCATTAAGAAATAGTGCAGTGGAAAATAAGATAAACAAGAATAACCCAGATATAAAATACACGAGATTAAAAAGGTTTAAGAAGTTTTCCCAGAAACTTCTTGAGATTCCCTGTTTTTTGATTCCCTAAAATCTGTTAATAAAGTTTCTGATGTCGCATTCAACAGGTATGGCTAACATTGAAGTGCATCAGTTACAAACACATGTGGCTAAATGTCATATGAGACACCAGATATCCCTGATTGTAATTCTCTTCCCTGCTCAGTGAGTAATTAGTGCATAAAAGTGTGTACCTAATTAGCATGATTGCCAGTTCAGACGGTATTTCACCATCAGATTTCTGCTAGTGCAGAACAGATGGGGAGCTTATAGACTCTACTTGTTTCCTACAGTTTACAGAAACGGGACCTCCTGAACAGAATGACTCGATGTGATACAAAATACGCATGAGTTTGAGTATGAATATGTTGTTTAGTAAAGAAAATGACTTTCAACAAGCTTCTTTTCCCATGACTTTGAACTCCCACTCTCTCTGTTTGACTCGAACAGCAGATCTACTCGGGTACGGTTGTTTCCTGTTTCAACACACTCACTTCCACAAGCATAGCCACAACCTTTCACACATATGATGTGTGTGTGTGAGGAGGTGGTTTGACTGTGCTCTCTTTTCCACTCAGTCCCTCGCCTGCACTTGTGTAAATCTCACAGACGCAAAACATGTCCAACATTACAGTGGAGAATGGAACAGAGCCAGACTTGAGTAACACGGCGTACGCTGTGGTGTTTGGATCTGTAACGGCTCTGGGTTTTCCTCTCAATGCCGTGTCTTTGTGGATTCTGTTATGCTGCCACAGCCACAAATCCCCTAGCACCATCTTCATGATCCACCTGGCCATCTCCGACCTGCTGCTCGCCTTCTCCTTACCCCTGAGGGTCTACTTTTACGCCACGGGGTCCTGGCCTTTTGGTTTCATGACGTGCATTTGGATCACGATGCTCTTTCGCAACAACATCCGCTCCAGCTCCATCTTCATCACTTTCATCAGCGTGGACCGGCTGCTGGCTGTGGTTTATCCTCTGCGGTCGCGCCACCTTCGAACCTCTTCAAATGCCTGGAAAGCTGTTGTGCTCGTTTGGGTGTTGGTGTTTGGGTTGAACATCCCGGAGAGCGTGGAGTTTTCGAGGTTTTACTCCAATAAATCCAGATGTTTCGAATTCGAGGATCGCCGGAGATCAGGAATGTCTTACATTCAGCCTGTGTTGGTTCTCGCCATGCTGGCATTGAACGTGGTGTCCACGGTTCTCGTCTCTCGGACTCTCCGCAGACACCTGAATGACTCTGCAAGGGTCTTCAACAAGGTGAACGTCATGCTGATTTTCGCCATGAATTTGCTAATGTTCAGCGTGTTTTTCTTGCCTGTATCATTGTTTATTTTATTTAAAAAACCGGGACCTGCTCTGACTCCATTGGTATGCCTGGCCAGTGTGAACTGCTGCCTGGATCCTTTGTTGTATTACTTTTCCTTTGATGGTTTCTGGAAGAGAAAGGAGGATGCTGATTCCTCTGGTGGGAGAGAGTAGTGCGTGATAACAATCGATGAGGACAGAATGCATTCGAGTGTGTGTGGATGTGACATAAAGGCCAAACAACTGAATTATTGTATATTTTACGAATAAAATGTTCACTTTATAATCAAAACTAACTTGTTCATTTGATGAAAATGTTTGTTTGATGATCTGACACAGAGATACTGATTCAGATAGCAGTCGACTCATCAGACACATGACCTTAGTACAGCAGCTGCGCGTGTGAAAACTCATTTTTATTTCAGTTCACATCGGAGCTGCAAAAATCTGAACATTGGATCCTCGGGCATCTTGGTGAGTTTCCCTGTGAAACAAAAGGGGTTTCCTATTTTCACAAAACATTTAATATATTTATTTAAAGAAAACTCTTGTTGAGTTCAGTCAGTATTTGAGGTCATTCTGTGGTTAGATCTGTGTGCTCCTGTTGTAAATGGGGCGAAGCCTGCGAGCTAGTTCAGGCAGTCAACTCGAGCACCAATGATACATTAACACGTGACGCACCTCGTCCCTCTCACAACCAACCAAACACATTCTCCTAAACATGCCGCTCTATTGAAGCTGCCAGGTCTTCCTGCCTCTGCCCACTGCTATGTTCACTTGCTATTGCTGCGTTCAAAAGTAAAGCATTACCGGTTTAATCGGAATTCTGTTTTGAGACCAGTTCAAGTTTTTTTAATGGCAGCACATCATGTACATTTAAATAAAACACCCGTAATTCAATGAGAGTAGAGATCTAGATCTAGACACAAATGGGGTGAAGCCTGCGAGCTAGTTCAGGCAGTCAACTCGAGCACCAATGATACATTAACACGTGACACACCTCGTCCCTCTTACAACCAACCAAACACATTCTCCTAAACATGCCGCTCTATTGAAGCTGCCAGGTCTTCCTGCCTCTGCCTCGCTATGCTGCCACTGCTGTGTTCACTTGCTATTGCTATGTTCATGTTCCTGCTGCTGTGTTTCATGTTCCTGCTGCTCGCTGCCCCCCCACCACCCCAGCTCCCACCTGTAGGCTCTGGGGATAGTTATCTAATCATCACTCGATGTTCTTTGTAAATCTGTGGAGTGATGAGGCCCGAGCCTAGACGCCAAACTCAAACTACATGCTGCTTATAATAAACATATTAAGAAACCCGCGAGTTGTCTGAACTGAATACTTTCCATAACTATCACAGGAAAATACATGAATTTACTTTTTCTTTAAACCACAAAAAATAAGGTTTCTGTGGTTTTTAACCTCAAACAAATCCATGCTGGGAATCCTGCTATTTTTCTTTAAAAACTTAAAAGGTAACATGTTGAGTTTTCTTGTAACCAATTTAAAAGTAAATGTAACATTGTCAATAAAACCCACACTGTGGCTTTCCTCGAGGTGGATCAAATGTGTGAAATGCATTTCCTTTCTCATAAAACATTTCTAAAGCAGTCCTGCGCTCCACCAGCAGCAACACATGCTTGTTGGAGAGCAGGTGCATCCTCATGCGAGATACAATCACAACACGTAGAGGTGTTTCTTACAGTGTCACGGTTATAAAACCCTGCAGGATGTCGTTCTAATGTGACTAGTTCTGATAACACCAGCAGTCCTTTCAACACAAACATTTCAAGTCAGAAGAACTCATATAATCTGATCATATTTCTTTATGCTTAGATAACATGTACAAATAAGTTGTATTAATTGCAGTAATAATTGATGTAGGTTGTTTTACAGTGTTGCAAGCAGCACATGCAATTATTTGTTGTTTTTGCGCTCAGTTCTTTGCTTTTGTCATCTGCCATATGTTGTATGTGATTATCAGTTATAAGACATATGTAGGAGGCATCAAAAAATGCTTATGGCTACTTTAATTTAAGTGATAAGACTTAATCCTTCTTCTTAGCTTTTCCTTTGAATCCTTTTAACATCATTTGGCACCGAGTTGTGGGTCTTTGGTTATAAATCCTGTGATGCCTTTGTGCTTTTTGTCAGAGCCTCAGAACAGCAGCCAGCATCGCTCAAGTCCTGGAAGCTTTAGTCAAATGGAGAGGCATCTGTATGCGCCTGCAGACATCGATCCAGAAAAGATTTTGAGAAAATCCAGATAACGTCTGCGTCTGGACGTAGACACTGGTGCGGTGGTTGTAACACTTCCAGTAGGAGAAGCATGCTTTAGCTTCAGAGACGATGCAAATATAGAAATGTGCCAAAACACATGTAAATAGGGAAACATCTTCCATTATGTTAGAACAAATATCACTGGTCCCCGGCTTGAGCTTCAACCTCAGGATCCATGTATCTGTGATCCTCTCCAGAATGGTTCCTGAGCAGTGTCCTTCACATGCTGATATCCAAGAGAGGGAGTTTCACAGTCACAAGATGGAGGAATAGAAAGCAGTATTCAATGTTTACTTCAGATTAGCTCCACGTCAGAAATGAGCATGCTTGTCATGTCTCTCTCCATAGAGGCTGAATCATCATGTTAATCACATAGCTATCATATGCCTCAAACTATGAGGGGCCGTACAGGCCGTAATTCATACTGGTCCTCTCACGCACATACATTCTCCTTTTACATACATATATTTTCACTCTTACATACATACATTCTCCTTTTACATACATACATTTTCATTCTTACATACATACATTCTCCTTTTACATACATATATTTTCACTCTTACATACATACATTCTCCTTTTACATACATATATTTTCACTCTTACATACATACATTCTCCTTTTACATACATATATTTTATAATATATGCATGTCTGAAGAGAATATATGTATGCAAGAGAAGAATGTATGTATGTGTGAAGACAATATATGTATGTGAGAGAAGAATGTATGTGTGAGAGAAAGTATAGTGGAAACGGAAGGAGTATGGTTGAAACGGAAGGCAGGTCATTCTTGCGCTGTGATTGGCTCAGAAGGTCGAGCGGGGCGGGCTCATGTTCAGAACTTCTGATTCAAATCAACATGATGGAGGGAGAGGGTTAGGGTTAGATGACTCCGTGTATCTACGGACCACTTGTTTTTCTTTATTAAACAAGTAAACGGAAGAGTGTCTGCGAGGCGTTTTTGCTTTTTGTTTTTTACCTTACTAAACGGTCTAATGGTCATTGTAGCGAGGAGGGGGGGGGGGGGGGGGCGATACTCGCGGAAGTGATTTCAAAACAAAAGCACTCGTTTGCTTGGAACGTTGAACATAATTATAAACAAGGGGAAACAAGGTGAATTTAGCGATCACAACGAAAACGGCCAAGACACACATTGAGCCCAGAAAATGAATGTTATTAAGGCTGTAAATATAATAAGCATGTGTCTAAAATGGACAACATTGTTAGGAGATTTAAACTATACAGCGATTCTGCACTGCGGTCACTCAGCCGTCTCTCGCGTTTGTCTTTTCAAATCAGCTGCTCTTCATATTTTACAAATATTTGTTACTGAAAGTTCTTAATAAAACTGACACTGTTGGACTCGAGGGGAGAAGAATAAATGGACAACATTGTTAGGAGATTTAAACTATAGCCTACAGAGAGCCGTTTTTTCAAATCAGTAGCTCTTCATTTTCTTTTTACAAATATATTTTACCACAAGTTCTTCATAAAACTGACACTGTTGGACTCGGTACTAGTTTGACTGCTACTAACAATACATTGAAGTACTTTTACTGTGTACTTTGTGAGAAATACTCTGTCAAAGTCCCCTCCATATAGCACATAATCTAATGCATCAGTCCGTCCCAGGCGGGAGTTTATAAACCAAAGAGTAACCGCCCTTACGGCACGCTCTGATAAGTAAAGCGAACGCACCCGCAAGGACACCTGGCCAGGGATGTGACAGTTTCAGGGGTTGACAAAATGTTCCTTAAAACCCCTAATGCTTGCTGCAATCTACGCGATTCATCTCCCTCCATCATGTTATGTTGATTTGAAATCAGAAGTTCTGAACATGAGCCCGCCCCGCTCGACCTTCTGAGCCAATCACAGCGCAAGAATGACCTGCCTTCCGTTTCAACCATACTCCTTCCGTTCCACTATACTTTCTCTCTCACATACATACATTCTTCTCTCACATACATATATTGTCTTCACACATACATACATTCTTCTCTTGCATACATATATTCTCTTCAGACATGCATATATTATAAAATATATGTATGTAAAAGGAGTATGTATGTAAGAGTGAAAATATATGTATGTAAAAGGAGAATGTATGTATGTAAGAGTGAAAATATATGTATGTAAAAGGAGAATGTATGTATATAAGAGTGAAAATATATGTATGTAAAAGAAGAATGTATGTGCGTGAGAGGACCAGTATGAATTATGGCCTGTACGGCCCCTCATATCAAACAGTCCTGATGCTCTTCTAGGTAATCAAACATCCTGTCATGAACACAGCTACAGTTGGGATACCTTTGTTATCATGTGGACTCTCATACTGGAAGAGAACTTTCAGTATTTTCCCAACACCTAACGAGACATAACATGCGCAGTGTTTTCTAAAAGTGCTGCATAAACAAACCGCTTCAAATACAAAAAGCTGCAAGAAGCTAAAAATACAACTGAAACCAGGGGACACTTAAAAGTGATGCACACCGGAGCGCTTGTAAACGTTCAGGGATTATTAAATAAACTTTCACAGTTGGCAGAGTTGTCTGTTTTTATAATTGTAACTGTTTTGTCAGTATTTTTTACTTTTCTTGGTTGGCTACTTAGCTAGCTATAACATCAAGATGAATCATGTGATCACATTGCTAAAATAAGCTAAATGTACATTTCAAGTAAGAATCCAGGGACAGATGGCACACTTTATAATCCTGAACGTCAACAAGCGCTCCTGTCCCAGCTGCGTGCATCACTGTTTAAAGGGCCCATGTCATGTTTTTCCGGTTATCACCCGTCCCCTTGTGTGTTATG